GGCTAATGAGCGATGCAGTAAAAACACCGAGAGTCTGATTCGGAATCTGGGTAAGGGAGATACAGCGGATTATTCTGGATGTCGCGAATGCTCCATTTGTCTTGGTTCTGTTCTGGTTTGTTCCCTCCTGGCGGATCGCACAACTGCAGGACACAGCTAACCTGTTTGAAGCGGCCTTACCAGTGTTTGTTCATGGCAGCCTGCGCCCACGTCTGGCATTACAAATGCGTTAGTCGTCTTATCCACACGCCAGACTACCCCATGTTTCAGTGTCCCAACTGCCGTGCCTACACCGATTTAAGCGCCGAGGTCGATGATACAAACGATTTTGACGAGGAGGACGAGAAGAAGGACATGCCAGAGGACAAGCAGGATACCACTGATGCATCTCGGTCACAAACAAATTCCCCCCAGTTGGAGGCCCAACCAGCCCCTTCTGGCGACGAACCCCGCCAGGACAACCTGCCGGCCGAGGCAGGCCTCGCTGCCAATATTGAGAGCATGCGTCTGCAAGACACAGATGCATCCGATGATGCGCGGCGTCCCCCCGCTCCCACGTCCAACAATGATGGCACCCCTGTTAATGCCGATAATGAAGTCCCTGGCTGGCAGTCCGTGACCCAGTCACCCAATGCTCTGCAGGCCCGCCAGTCCCACCTACGTGCGGACACCCCTGTCCGGTCGGAGTCATCTGAGGACAATCCTCTGACGCCATTGAACGATTCGGGGCCCCTAGCCCTTGACGGCCGGGCCGCCATGCCCTGAAGCAACGAGGAGTGTGGTCGCGACATTATTGGATAGATCGCTCCGATCCGCTCCTCAACAGCTGCATTTGGCTTCTAGATTTGGACAACCCTTGCATCCAGTCCACAGGACTGAGTCGTCATTGATATGTGCATCCCTATTGTCGCCTTGGTTTGATGTCTTTTGTCTTTTGCATTCTCGAGCCGTATTTTCATGTCCCATTGTTATTAGCTTCTTAAGTCCCAGCATTGAGCATCGCGATTGTTTTCTTTCCCCTCTGCTTCCCCATTTATTCTCTTTCACCCCACCTATTCCACTTATTTTATACCCATTTGCAGCATCCTTTCTCCCTTACACACATACTCTCCCACTCCATCCCGTTCGGCACTGGCTATTTCACCATCAACGCAGTGGACCCACTACCATGCCATGCCTTGCGAACCGCACCCGGCTTGGAGTACACACACGGGAGTCATCTTCTTTGGAAACCCGGAGGTTGGCGTTTGCAGTCAGTCAGACAGTCAGTAGTGGTTCCCTCTTTATTATGTTTTTGGTTTGTCCGGAACGGAGATTCATTGGCGCGCATGAATGGGTGTGGTTGTGAGATGTACATACCAGCTATACATATATTCCATATTTTATCCAATACCTACCTACCCAGATATATCATCCCTGTCTGAAATTAGGCAGCACACTGCAAGATTAGTTTCCCTGTCCTTGTGTTGCGAGGTAACATGAGAACGCAGCATCACGATGCTCGGCGGGTTGGCCGGCTGGCAGTCACCCCACCCACTATTAGTATCTTTATCATCTCCGATAGTACTACCACCACCACTACTACTACCATTTAGCTAGAAACGAATTCCTACTACACAACCTACAGTACAATACCATACCGTTCATTCTGACAGTAACTACAGTACTAGTAATACTTAGTAGGAGGATCATCCATTGCCCAACCGTTCCATATATATATCGCCATTGACATACTTGAAGAAAACAAACATTCTCTCGAAATTCAAGTACTGCTACCTACTAATTACTTATTGCTGTGAACTTCAATCAAGTTGTTAGGGGCAGGTACATGCTTAGTATTCTGATAACATATTATTATTTCTAGTACTGGTATTCCTTCTGATCATTGATTCCTAGTATTTAAATAGATAAGCACAAACAGTAGTAAGAACTAATAGTAACAACGTATTCTGTATACAGATAGTACGTAGTCACATTAATAGTATATACACGAGTCAATAGACTACTAGTAGTAGCGCTACTGAAAACAAAGCCGACATCAGTCTAACTTAAATGAGTTGCATGATTCAGTTAAGCATCCAGGTACTTACTACGTAGTTCAATCACTACTTACTAGTGGCTTATGTGGCTTGGCTTGCTAGTTAATAGATGGAAGCAAAGGCATTACAATTCCGGATTTTTGTTTTTTTTTTTTTTTTTTTTTTTTTTTCATATCAATGGTGGATTGGATTGATTAATTACCTTTCTCACTTCATCAATCTGATAATAGTACACACCCAGTTCATTAAGTCACATAAAGAAAAACAGAAAAAGAAAATAGACAATTCGCTGGTATCAATCAATCATCTCATATCATCTCAGGCCCAGTCTCTTGTGTTTCCTGGCCCCACATATAGTCATCATGGATAATCATAATCAACAAAGCAAGCAATATGTTCTGCTGCTGCTGCTGCTCTAATAAACATCATCCCTTAGTTCAACCAAGCCCTCAAAACCCCCGCTGGGTGCCAAGGGTCCCGCGGTTATCGAGGTCCGAGTCGACGCGGGGGTCGAGCTTGTTAGCCATGTTGGAGCTGTGAGGGCCGGCGGTGGTGCTCTGGCCGGTAGTGTTGTAGCTGCTGCTGGCCATACCCTGGTGGCGGGCGCGGTTGTCCATGTCTGAGTCAACGCGGGGATCCATCTTGTTGGCCATGTTGGAGCCGTGAGGGCCTGCGTTGCTGCTGCCACCGTAGCCGCTGCTGGTGGTGTAGTCGTTCACGCCGCTGCCGCCGTAGCCGGCACCAGTTCCTGCGCCGCCGTAGCCTGCACCAGTACCTGCGCCGCCGTAGCCTGCGCCGGTGGTGTGGGTGCCGGAGTAGCCGCCAGCGGCACGGTTGTCTGAGTTGGATGTTAGTATTGTGTTTGATGGTATGATGGATGATGGGTAAGGGGGTATGTATGTACCTCTGTCACTGTCAACGCGGGGGTCCATCTTGTTAGCCATGCTGGAGTCGTGAGGGCCGTGAGCACCGCCCATGGCCTGGTGACGGGCACGGTTGTCGCGGTCACTGTCGACACGGGGGTCCATCTTGTTGGCCATACCGGTCTCGTGAGGACCCGAAGAGTAGCCACCGGAGGAGTAGCCGGCACCGGAGCCGCCCATACCGCCGGTGGGGTTGGCACGGTTGTCACGGTCACTGTCGACGCGGGGGTCCATTTTGTTGGCCATGCTGGAGTCGTGGGGGCCGTGAGCGCCGCCCATGGCTTCGTGGCGGGCGCGGTTGTCTGGGGAGTATGTTAGTATCGTATTGGAGGGGACGATTGGAGGGGGATAAAGCTTACCGCGGTCGCTGTCGACGCGGGGGTCCATCTTGTTGGTCATGTTGGAGGAGTGGGGACCAGCATTGGAGGAAGAGGTGTTGCTGGATTCCTTGTGGTGGCCAGTCATGGCATCCTTAACCTTGTGCATAAGTCCGGACATGATGGGCAGTTGTATGTGTGTTTGGTTTAGAAATTGAAGATAGGATAGTAGATAGAGAATTTGAATTGTGATAGTTGTAAACCATCAGATATGCTGAGTCAGTTATTGTGTTGATGATGAGAATTGAGAATTCTTGGAGACCAGCCAGGTTTAAATAAGGAGTGGTGAGTGAATGGACGTCTGGCCATGACGTAGGGATACGTCGAGTGGTCGCATTCCCTCCGGGACGTGCCCTGGTCCGGCAAAGTGACTTGATGGCGGTTGAATGAATGGTTGATTGAGTTCACCTCCCTCACAATGGCGGGCTGGTAGGATGACGTTGAGATGTGCTCATGTTTCTCAGCCCTAAAGCAGCGATGAATATGGTCTTTGTCATTGTCCTCTGTTTAGCAGCATCGAAAGCGGCAGGGAATAGCTCCCACGGATGTCGATCGTTCCTAGGCGGGACATTAAGTGGTGAGTGGCTCCGCATCTTCGTGTAAGGCCAGATTAAGAAGCCGTCTATTTTTGTCTCCCACCAGTGTGTCCAGCCAGTTACTGCCTTCTGGCCAAGTCTGGGGTCGTTGGAGATGTGCATCAGTGAAGATGAGTCAGCAATTCACCGCGGATGATGACCTCAGCCAGTGTGTTGATGTCGTCGGCCAAGCCTGCATGCATGATAGTTATTGGCTGCAGATGTGAATTGCGGGGATCAAGGGAGAGCAAGACCCACTCACACGAATCCACTTGCTGCGGGCCCAGATGGTGCCTCCGATCGAATGGGGATCGGTCTTCCCCCTCCATCTGGCATGCCAGATTGAGCTGCACACCTTATTCTTTAGGATTATTTTAGTATCCGCACTAGCCTACTGCACTGTAGTACCTCTAGAGTACAGAGGAGTCGTGTATTCCAGAGATATCTGGTGGCGCGGTCTCGTATACGGCGGGTGTAGCGATAGAGAATCCTATAGTTCGGACTCCTGCCGGCTTACATCACGGATTGACCCGATCCAGATAATGACAATCTGTTCCGTGGGCGGAAGCATATCACTGCCGTTTTGATACTATTCGTTTGCCAAGGTCTCACAATGCATGATGCAATCTGCGTGAATCAAGCTCCCCATAGTGCTGTGCACGTCGACGATATTCCTACTTTAGCATTTCGGTCTAGTTTGGACGGGATGTCGAAGAGCTCTTTGTCCTGTTCCTGAAATTGCTTTGCTGGCAACACCGGGTGAATCCTTGGAAGGCTGGAGACGTAAGCGGCTGTCAGATCTACACCGGCCCGTCCAGTGGAGTGTACAGTTGTGAGTGGCTTGCATCGCTAGCAGGGTTGGCAGAATGGTCTAGCTCGTAACAGTATGCACCTCCGTGTAGACGTTCGTCATTCAATCGGGCCTAAAATGGGAGTGTCTCTTGCAAACAGGCTTAGGCAGCCTGAGATCTCAGTCACTACAGTATCATATCCAAGACCTTGAGTGCTGCGTCGCCAGTAATGTAGGTAATTGTATTTCGGATTTAGGTGGACAATCCCCAACGGTGCTGCTAACTGAGGTGGATGTCACCGGGACAGCCAGCTACCCTTGTATGGAATGACTGTTTGGTTCTGCGGCCATCTCAGATATAGAATATTTCTTGGCCATATCTAGGAAATCTGATGGTTTCGCTTGGCTTCTACCATGGACGCGTCAATCGCTGGCTGGAATTCAGGCGCTGCGTCTAGTTGCAGTGAAGATCTAGAAGAGGTATTCGGACTACTTTCACTGTCCCGACTGTTTATGGCATCCGAAATGAGTTTAATGATGCCCTCGTTTCCACACTCCGTGGCAGGTGTAAGCAGTTTTGTGCCATAGTGGTCCTCTGAATTTGGGTTCACTCTGCCGGTCTTGAGCAGTAGTGCAACGATGCTTTCATGGCCTCCCTGGCAGGCAAGAGCCAGTGGTGTCCTGCCATGGTCGTCCTGTATATCAGGATTGACCTCATCGTTCTCAAGTAGTAGCCCGACAATCTCATCATGGCCATAATATGAGGCCTGCGCGAGCGGCGTCTTACCACCGGCATCCCGACAGTTCGGGTCAGGTATCCCGGTACTCAGGAGTGACTTGACAATATTCTCATGCCCCCTGAGTGCAGCATGCAGTAGTGGAGTGCGTCCATACTTGTCCCTAGAGTTGAGGTCTTTGACTCCAAAGTCGAGCAGTATCCGAACAATACTTCCGTGGCCACGGTGTGCTGCTCGTGAGAGTACAGTCATACCTCTAATACCTTTTCGATTGGGATCAACTCTCCCGGTGTTCAGTAAGAAAGTGACAACATCGTCGTGCTGAGCATCTGCTGCATAGACAATGGGTGTAAGCCCAGCATAATCCACGGCATCTGGATCAACCTTGCCGGTAGCAAGAAGCATCTTGGTGATATTGAGATGGCCACGTCCCGCTGCATACCCGAAGGGCGTTTTTCTTCCACTAAAGGTCCGCATGTCGGGGCGAATCCCTCGCTTGCTGAGCAGGAGGCTGACAATACTCTCGTTACCATGATATGCTGCATGTGCGAGTGGCGATAGCCCGCTATTGTCCACTTCATTCACATCAATCCACCGCGTTGTTCGGAATAAGAAGGGGAAAGACCAAGACTGTCTGAGCAGGAGTTCTAGCACGTCAAATGTCCCATACTCTGCTGCGAGTGATAAGGCCGAACGACCATAGGTGCTCCTATAATTCAAATCGATATCTTTGTCTTGTAGTAGCGTTTGAACTGTGCGACGTAATCCCAGCCATGATGCTCGCATCAGAGTGGTTGAGGGAGTGAGCTGATGTATAGCCGCTGTATCGTTATTGAACCAAAGACAGAAGGCTTCACCGCGGCGAATGATGTCCATTATTTGTGAATGTGTCGATTGGTCCTCTTCGATACCAGAGGATAAGACATGCTTGCTCCAATTTTTGACGGCATATTCGAGGAAGGGAGTCCGATTGAACTCCACTACAAGGTCCCTTTGGTCTTTTGAGGCCATCTTTGGATCCATAGAATGTAGAAAGCCCACACAAGCCTTCGCCAATGTCCATTCTGAATCATGCGGATTCAACGAAGCTTTCCACGTAAGGTCTGGAATTGGCTCACTTTTACCTTCCCTATACACCAGAAAATCTCTTGCGGTTTCGTGTAGGAGGTTTATTCTTGAGTCGATGATAGTGATGAAAAGACCACATATTTCCCGGATTGACCGCTTTTTTCGATGCTCTGGTTCGATCTCAAGCTGGTCTTCGGGTGATTTCCGGTCTAATACAGCCACTGCAGTAGCCATATCCGCCACCGTCAGAGGTGTATTTGCGGCAACGACAATATGTAAGATTTTCATCGCCCGATCGGGGTCTGGAGTGCGGCGTAGTATCTGGTTGTAAGCTTCGTCCAGGGTTCGCGGTAGTCTTCTAATCGCTGCATGTATACTAGTAGGAGTGACCGTCAATATATCGTCTAAGGTACTCATGATGTGATCGATCCACAGATATGTTCGATTTTGAACGGAGGTCAGCTCAGAGAGAAGAAGATTGCGCTCGTCTGCCAGAAGCTGTAGCCTGCCTGCAAGCTCCTCTACTCGATGCTCTATGACCATATTGATCTCTCCCGCTATTTTCTGTACCTCATCGTTATCTTCTCCACGTAGGTGAATGGCTGGGAAGTTATTCTCTAGAGACTGAAACCCTCTCTGAATAGCGCTATATGGTCGACTGGTGACGAGAAATATTAATTTTGAAGACGCCGTTGTGTTTTGGTAGAGGTTGGTCAAACACTCAGCCAGTTGTGATTGTCCGTCGCACCCACATTCATCCACGGCATCCAGAACACAAATCACTTGCCCAGCTGGAAGCTCCCCCGCCAGATCGCAAAGAATAGACCACAAGCTCCAGACCGATTGATATATGTGACCAGTCTCACTTTCGAACCTGGATCGGAGACGGTCGGAAAGCAGGCGCGGTTTTTGCTCGAAGATCTGATGGAGAATGCAGCATAAAGCATCCACAAGGGATTTCCGATCCTCGAAATCCTCCTTGAAGAAGAAGTAGCAGACCACACTTGTCTCTGAACTAAGCAGAACTTCATCTAAAAGATATCTGGCCAGGACAGATTTTCCACAGCCAGGATCGGCTGAAACCCAGAGAAGGCTCGACCCATGATCTTCTCTCCAATTTTCGAAGAGGTGGTGTTGGATGAACCATTGACAAGTCCCCTCAACTCGTTGTGGGTTCCTATCCTTAGCGTCTCGGTAGTTGCAGGTATACAGCTGCTTGAGAACGTTGGCTTTCCACTCTGATGTATGTTCTTCGCGCGGTGGAGTATCTATAATAATGTTATTATATCTCATTACCAACGCAGGAGCAATTATTGGGCACATACCTAGAGGCTCCATGTACGCCAGAGCTTCCTTTGCTAGCGCTGCAGCCGCGCCTGCGGCATATGCATGCCAGCCATCGTCTTGGTGAGAGTCACAGTAATGAGAAATGCCACGAAAGACAATGCATGGAAACTGGTCCATTAACCCGGCAGCCCCCGTCTCGCAGCATATTGCACCACCACCACCATATTCCGTGGCCATCACGTCCCGCTTTCGGCCATCGCTTATCATGCGGTTACCCGATGCTATAATACCATAAAAGACTCGCGACTCGTCAGATGGCACCCGGGGACGCCGTTGCACGGCTCTGGCTTTGTCACAAGAAGCACAGCTGCTTCCAGCTTGAGCGTGGATATAGTCCGCTGTAAACAGGGTATCTGTTTCCGACGATGGCCGATGGTATTCTCTCAATTCGGGGTGATTGCGCAGTACATCCGACAGGAACTCTGCGATACGATTCGACCGGACGCGGTGATCTGACTGCATCATGGTCATCACCCCTCTCCACTCAGTAGGAGGAGGACAAGATATTCCCTTCCTTTTGAACCCACTGGTGGTTTCCTTCCCCAGATCATATTCAACAACTCCTCCCAGAATGCCATCTGGAGCACTCACAGCTACATCCCCAAGACGTATATCGTTGTTTTTGCTGGGAATACCTCCGCCAACGCCCACCAGTAAACGAAGCTCGATCGCTGGGAAAGTGCGGGCAAGGTGGATGGCGACAGCTGCTGTGGAAGCCGTCCCTTGTGCTCCCTTCGGGAGTGATGCGAGCACCACATTGTGCCCACTCAAGGATCCCAGTACATACGTATTCGGGTCATATTCGTCTCTCGGAAGATCTGCATGCTCGTCGTCAAGCATATATCGTGCTGCACTTAGTTCGACCTCTAGGGGACATATCAATGCGACCGTGTATGCTTCTTTATGGAGCCGCAATCTTGGAATATTAGGCACCATATCTCTTCTTCCATCAGATAGCAGAAACCCCCCAAATTCTCGGCGGCTACGACAATCTGCGAGGTCTGAAGTTCCTTCTGAAGTGCGGGGAGGAAAGAGAGTGTCCAGTTCAGCCTCGCAATGGCGGTTTGCGCGCGTCCATGCACCAATAAACGACAGAGCCCATAGAATCTATTAGACGAACAATGCACGAACTATTTGGATCATAATCGTATTCGGCGTGCAGCCGACCCTGTCGCTTGCGCGAGCGGGCGAGCGAGAAGGCCAAACACGCCTGGATCTCCGCTAGACAGCTTTCCAGATAGCAACCAGCCATTCAGAGGAGTGAGGCATATGCTGAAGGATAGCGAGCGACTTTGGTTTCATCTCAGATCCTTTGGCTAGCTGCCAGGCGGCAAGCCGACGAACTGCAACGAGAGGATCGGCTCCCGCTAGTAGATAGTTGCAACAGAACCATGTCTGTGCCACTCCAAAGGCGCCGAAACATAATTACTTATGAGTAGGCTGATTCGAATCATATAGTTAGGACTGAAGAGATTCGAAGTTGTGGTTTTCACGTACTAGTCTTGACCTATCCCAAGTTATCCGAGGGAATATGTATCCACTTCTTATCATCACCCACAACACATGATGCATTCGCAGCCCTCTATGATCTATCTGGGTTTCAACTTCTCCTGCTATCCAAATTGGATATATCATCGTGGCCAAACCAGGTCAAAGTACGTGGAAGTCAACTGGTTGGCGGAGGTGTTGTGAGGAAATAGAGTTCTGGGCGAGGCAGCCCCGTGAAGATGGATTCACCAACCACAACATCCGGCGGCTGGTTGATCCCCCGCGAGTTGTCCCTAATTTCTGCACGATGATGCCACTCCTTATCTCGTACCAATTCCCAAGAGTCTCATATGATATGGCTCGCTGGACAAGCGCACTAAATCAGGAGAGTCCTTTCACCAACGCCGACTCGCCCTATCGTTCCACCTCGACTAAGCAACTAACCCAAGTTTGACAAAGCGGACGGGCTGTTGACCGCTAGACGCAAATTCTTTCACGCTGTGTACAAAGACCACCTCTTCTATTTCTGTGTCTCTCCTCCCTCAGTTAGATTGAATTGGAGGCAAACATGCGATTGAATTTCAGTCAACCCCCGACACCGGCGTTGAGTCGGCAGAACACCACGTTCCTTAACAATGCGCATCACTATCGCGCAGGGACCCATCCGCATCTCCTGACGAGTCGGAGCAAGCCCCGAAGGTAAACAACATAGCTCACAAATCTGACTCTTACTATAACATTATGCTGAATACGCGCCATATCAGATGGCCTCTGGTGTTCCGATTCATCAAAGGCGCTATCCACGCGGCCATTCTGCTGCCCGTCTTCCTACACGCCGCGTTCACAGCCTTTGTGGTCTATCTCGATATCTATGTCTTTGATACGGTTGGGCTACCAAGCAGTATTGTAGGTCTTACTCACATGCATGTTGTCGCGCTTCCAGATCTGATCATGCAACCGTAGATCCCATCCTTGTCTATAGTCGTGGGTTTGATGCTCGTTTTCCGGAACCAGACGTCCTATAACCGGTTTTGGGATGGGCGTAATGGAATGAACACAATCTATACGTGCATTCGCAACCTGGTCAGGACTATCGTCACCAATGGATACAGCACCGCAGGTCCTCCCACTGCCGCGGAGAAAGAGGACATCGAACGGACGATACGAATCCTCATGTCGATTCCCTTTGCAGTCAAGAACCATCTTCGCGCTGAATGGGGAGCGGCGTGGGCTCTAGGAAATGATGTAGCCGAGAACGGTGTCGCAGCGTTCAACCCCGATTATGCAAGTCTCCTTCCAGCTGGACTGGTGGGCCACGAGGATGAGGGGCTGGGATTACCGTTTCAACTAACCTTCTTCGTGGATGGGTTTATCAAGAGGGGAGTGGAGCGCGGCTGGTTCAACGCTCCCGGGGCAAGTCAAATGCAGGCTCAGTTGAATTCATTGATGGATGCCTATGGAAGAATGGAGACCATCAAGCTGACTCCTATTCCGGTTGCGCACTTGTAAGTCTCTTCATCTTGAACCACCCCTTTACCTCTTCTCGCCAGCTCACATGTGAAAGGATCCACCAAAAACAAGTTCTCGCTCTCTTTGGCTGCGTCTTACCCTTCGGTATGGTTGACGATATGGGGTGGTGGACCGTTCCCATGGTCAGCCTGGTCATCTTCACCCTGTATGGCATCGAAGGCATCGGCTCGCAATTAGAAGACCCCTTCGGGTACGACCGCAATGACATCAAGATGGATGCTATTGTCGGCGACGCCAAGACCGAAATTGAAGTCGTACTGGCCGAATGGCGCCGACTGATGGCGTCCCTCGAGTCAGGCTCGGCGACCGATAATGGCGATCAGCATCTCGGCAACGGTTTGGTTGTGGAAGAGGAGGTTAAGGAGCAGAAATTCATGCCGCCTGATATGTTCCTCAAGCATCGCGCGAGACCATCCGGGCGATAAGTAGCTAGCCAGCTATTTCTGATTGTGATGGTTCCCGGAAACTGGGCGTTGTGGAGATCGAGCAGATCTAGCGTCACTAACAGGGAACTATCACCTTAGACCATCTCGGTTACAAGAGATCGACGCCCTATCAGCCTGTCAAGCATGCGAGTGATTATCTACGAGGACATTTTTCATCCTTGCGATCGTCAGGGGATATCTCCATCGAGTAATATGGATCATTGCTGGACCAATCCGACATCGTCGACATATCAAGTCTATAGTTTCTTTTTTTGTATTTTCCGAAATAGCTCCACTTTCTGTGCATACCCTCAATATCATGAACATGAAAATGAACCATACATATAAAAGCCACCACGAGACCCCTCAAATACCAAACAACAAAAATTCAACATCAACTAAACAATCCCAAACCACCTCTAACCACTAATCTTAAACTCACATCAAAATGAACCTCCTCCCCCTCCTCCTCACCCTCACCACCTTCCTCCTCCTCCCCCTCACAACAGCCTTCACCTCAACCTTCCAAAACTGCCAAAACCTCAACCGCCTCAACCAAACCGTCCACCGCGTCCACCCTCTCCTGGAAAAATTCTCCTCTGTGCACGCCTCCAAATCCCAAACAGCCGTCACCACAACCACCACCCTCGCCAACGGAACCACAATTACCGTCACCAACACTACCTCCTCCTCCGCTGCAGTCGAGAGGATCGAAGGCGTTAGGGCTCTGCTTCTCTCCTCCCAGGAGAAGATCTACGGCCGGTTGAGTAACTGCTCGAGTGATGCGGTAGTGGCGCCCCGGAATGTGCTGGTGAAGGGCAGCGTGAAGAGAGATGATGACGACGAGGATGATGATGGCTCTTGCACTTTGACTGATGTTTTGGATCAGTTGGTGGATACGTTGGAGTGTGTGTTGAGCTTTGCTACGGGCTTGTTGGAGACGATTCTTGATGGGGTTTTTGATTTGTTGAAGGATGTTATTGAGGGGGTGGAGAAGTTGTTGTAGTGTTTTGTTACTGTGCAGGTTGGGGGACTTAGAAGAAGATTGGTGCTGTATGATTGATTATAGGAGGAGGGCTTCGACGCTTATTGGGGAAATGATCTTTGCTGGATCGTGTCGTGTTGCGAGATACCCATTTATAGTACTTCATCTAATTCGTCAAGTATAGTCATCACTCTACTTACTGAAGTCTATCACTGTTAGCCTGTAGCCTGAGATGGTTTGTAGAATTGCTTTGAAGTTTATACATGATTGTGTCAATCACAACGGCGCTTCTAATGTAAGCACCCCGTCCAATATTGAATCCGGATTCGCGTACTCAAGCACCTGCGACACAGCGTGCAAGTCACTCCCGTATTGTAGGCTTCTATCCTCTTCGGGTTTGGCCACCATGATCCGATGTCGAAAGACCTTTCTGGCTGCTAGTGCTACGATTGAGGGCGTGAGGAAGTCGATGCCGTGTAATACGGCGAGAAGTCTGTGTCGTAATCAGTGCTTTGCTTCGACGTGCAGGGAATGAATAGGATGATCTCACTTTGAAAATGACTTGAAATAGAGGTTTGACCGTGTGGATATCCCGCCAGCTACTGCGCGACTAAGTCGAAGGAACACAACTATGTCTTGTTGGTACCGGGCTATTTCGGCGCCCATGCTGACCGTGGTGCTTAAGTGTTGTAGTTGTTCAAGGAGCTGGTTGTTATGTTCTTGTTAGTGGGATTTGGTCCGATGACCAAGGTAGGAGGGGAGACAAACCGTGATATCTACATGAGGATGTCCTTTCTTCGTTTGAGCTTCTGGCTTGTGGATAACGGATGATGCGGACCTTTGGCCATCGGATAGCCAGTCATTGTTTTCTTCGAGATAGACGTAGCCGTCTTCTATGTCGTGAAAATGAGAGATGAACAGGTAGTCGTTCTAAGTGGGTCAGTTCACTGAGTGATAGAATTATACCGGTGGCAGACATACTAGATGAGAGTTTAATGATGGGGTTTCATCGCGCACTATAAGAGGTAGGAACAGAAAATAGGTTGGGGCTTCCAAGATTCCTGCCGGTGTGGTGAGTTGCTTCGAGTGCATTAACTGTATGGGCCAGTCATTATCACATTCTATTTTGGATGTAATTGTGTTTACCTCGAGAGCTTCGCGCTGGATATTGTCGTCCACATGGTTGAAGTGCTTAGCTATGACAACATTGACGACTTCCTGCTTGTGCTCGATAGGGGCTGACTTGAGGCGTCCTTTATGATCTCGAAGGTCATGATATGAGGATATCGCACCCGCCTTATCTTATTAACCTAGCAATAAAGTGGACCAAAACAGTCAAATTGACATACCGACTCAGTGGACTCAGTGGTCATTCGTGAGCGCGAAGGCCGAGCATAACTGCTCCTGTAAAGACCGGGAGGAAGTAACTCAGCACGAAAATCTTCTAAAGATGTAGCACTAGAGCAATCAAGAATGCTATAAGAGAGACCAAATGTATTTGTGCATATCTAAACAAGGCATCAGTAAAATCGTAGATCATATCACGGGATTTTGAATTACCAGGGCGAGCTCCTTTGCGACGTCATGAATATTGGCGTCATTTGTGTCAATGCGACAGTGTTGGTGTGCCGCAAGACAAAAAAAGAGAGCTACTTCAAGATCAGATAATTCTGGAGCGAGACTTGAGATTTCCGAGCCATCCTCCATGATAGTACTCTCGTGCAATTGACAGTCATGGTGGCAGCTGGGATAGTCAATGAATAATTACCCGCGCGATACATGGTCCAGCCACCTCAGGCACTATATCCCAATGCGGTTAGTGCCGGAGACCCGTCCGCATGGGAGCTCCAGGAGCTTCCCGATAGACAACAACATCCGGCTGGAGGGTCTTATCCCAGCACTATCTCCATCGGATCTGTATCGCTTCCCATCTATACATGACATTGCTCGGTGTCAATGGCGCCGTCAAATCCTCTGGCCAATTGGGAGAGACTAGGAGATAGCTTCTACCGGAAGGTCCCCATATACGATGCCATCTTCGACGATGATGTCGAACTAGAGAACTACATCATCGCTGGCGCTCCCTACGGAGGGGCTATTGGTATGTGCAATAGTTGCAAGATTATCTGGTTTTAAACGTGCTGATATATTTCCAGCGCTGCACCGCGATGAGGGCAAACCGTACAGGTTCCGTGATGCTCAGACCGCCAAGTCGAGCATTGACATTTACTCATGCTCGGGGAAGCACATCAATCGAATCAATGTCAGTCAGCTATAGACTTCGCGTAGGCAAGTTCTAACGTCTGTAGTGGGAATACGGCACGATTCGTGGTCTCGGCTGGTCCGACAAGGAAGAACTCCTGGTGATCACGGAAGACGGCACTGTCAGACGCTATTTTGGCCTCCACGGCGACTTTACCTCCTTTTCTCTGGGAAATGTAACGCTCCTATCCACATGCTGCTCTGTTGAAACTGACATCCGCTTAGGGAGCTGAAGACTACGGTGTGAGGGCTTGCCGATTCTGGACCTCGGGCTTTGTTGCCCTGCTCTCTAACAACCAACTGGTTGCTGTGTCGAATTACGACGAGCCGCGACCTAGGCTCCTGGCTTCTTGTCCGGAAGGAGAAGTCTCGTCGTGGTCACTGATACCTCCGGCTTATACGCTGTCTCGCTCAGTTGAAGTCCTGCTTGCCGTTGACAAGACAGTCTACTTGGTCGACCCCACGGAAGCCGAAGACAAAGTCCTCCAAAATGGGCCGTTCAAGCATGCAAGCGTGTCGCCAACCGGAAGATTCGTTGCTCTAATCACCGCTGAGGGCAAGGTATGGGTAGTCAGCAGTGACTTCCAAAGCAAGTACAGCGAATATGACCCAGAATCGCGAGTCACTCCTCGGACAGTCGACTGGTGCGGAGATGATGCCGTTGTCATCGCATGGGAAGACGAGGTACATCTCATCGGGCCTAATGGCGTTGCGGCGAGATATTACTATGACGGCACTGTCCATGTCGTGCCTGAGTTTGACGGTGTGCGTTTAATTACCAACGACACCTGCGAGTTCCTGCACAAAGTTGTTGGTAAGTAATCCTCGTTTAGTCTAGGAACAAACATCTGATGGTCTGCAAGATGTCACCGAGGCGATCTTCCGGCTCGGATCTACGTCACCCGCCTCAGTCCTCCTGGACTCTATAGACCTTCTGGAGAAAAAGTCGCCCAAAGCCGACGAGAACATCCAACGTATCCGGCCAAGTTTGCCCGAGGCGGTTGACACTTGTGTCAAAGCTGCTGGTCATGAGTTTGGCACATATTGGCAGAAGCGCTTGTTAAAGGCAGCGTCGTTCGGAAAGTCTGTTCTTGACTTGTACAACAGCGATGAATTTGTCGAAATGACTGAGAAACTCCGAGTGCTGAAAGCAGTGCGAGACTACCAGATAGGACTGCCGCTTTCCTATGAGCAATACATGCGCCTCACTCCTGAAAGGCTCATTGAGCGGTTGGTAAACAGGCATGAATACCTGCTTGCGATCCGCATTTCGGAATACCTTGAGCTTCCTGCCGATAGGATATACGTTCATTGGGCAAGCCAGAAGGTCAAAGTATCCACAGTGGACGATGATGCCCTCTGCAAGCTCATTGTCCAGCGACTGGAAGGCAAACCAGGCATATCCTTTGAATTGATCGCGCAAACAGCTTACGATGAAGGACGTGCTCACTTGGCGACTCAGCTGCTGAACCACGAACCAAGAGCTGGGAAGCAAGTGCCCTTGCTCTTGGACATGGAAGAAGACGAGATTGCCTTGGATAAGGCCATCGAAAGTGGAGACGTTGATCTAGTGAACTACGTCCTTCTGCACCTTAAGACTAAACTACCGCTTGCCAGTTTCTTCAGAACGATAAACACACGCCCTATGGCGTCTGCCCTTGTGGAGATGACTGCCAGAGGACAGGACACCGAGTTGTTGAAAGACCTCTTCTACCAAGATGATCGGCCTATTGATGGCTCCAATGTCCTTCTCTCCGAGGCGTTGGACGCAACGGACCTGCCGCGCAAGACCGAAAAGCTCCAGCTCGCATCACGTCTACTGTCAGACTCAAAAGATCCTTCTGTGGTGTTACAGCAGAAACTACTAAACGAAGCATCCCAGTTGCTGAAGGTCCAGGAGGCCCTCGACAAGGACCTTGCGGATCGTTCAGAGTTCCTTGGCTTAAGCTTGAATGAGACAATCTACAGACTGATAAGATCAGGCTACGGAAAAAGAGCACAGAAGATACAGAGCGAGTTCAGGATGCCAGAGAAAACTTTCTGGTGGTTGAGATTAAGGGCCTTGGTAGCTAAGCGTGACTGGGGTGAGCTGGAAGAAATCGGGAAAAACAAAAAATCCCCGATTGGGTGGGAGGTAAGTCGGCCAACAACCCCAGCATATGCGCCCGCATGCTCACGGATAAATAACAGCCATTCTATAACGAGGTTTTGGGGGCTGGAAATACAAAGCTCGCTTCGTTATTTGTTCCCAAATGCACCAATTTGCCGGCTGAGGACAAGATGGAAATGTGGGTGAAATGCGGCATGATTGCGAAAGCCGGCGAAGAAGCCTTCAGGGCAAAGAATGTCAACGCCCTTGAGCTCCTCCAGGCGAGGGCTTCAGGACCAGCCGCCGTTGAGATCGAACGGATGATCAACCAGCTTAGACCGCGGAAGTAGATAGCTGGCGCAACCATGGCGGTATTTCCTTGGCAAGATAGACGTCCACGCATCAGGTGATATCATCGTCCACGTCAATGCCTTCGTGTTCCTCCACAACGGGAGCCTGAGTGGCAGGGGCCGGCTTCGAACGTTTCGCTGGCTTGGAAGCCGCAGCATCGTCCATCATAGCATCGTCCATGTTATCGTCAGCCTCGTTGAGGGCTTCGAACATTGACTTCGTTTTACGGTTCAGATCCTCCCATTCAGCCTAGACACTCATTTCGTCAGAGATATTGACCAATCATAATGGAAAGTCTGGCGTCCTTACCCTACGAGCCTTGACGGATTTGGCGCGGCCCTCACTTTTAACGACCTTCTTCTCCAGCTGGTCCATCACGGCCTCTGCTCTTTCAACACCCTTTTGTTGTCTCAAGCGCTGCGCTCTAGTTTTAGCTTTGCCTTTTGACGATTTCTTCGAAACGCCTGCATTAGCGCGTTCCGATAGGATCGAATCCCGCTGTACTGTAGTTTCTTCGGCCCGCGGAAGAGATGTGATTGACTTGTCGACATCGAGACTGGGGGAAGCTGCCCGCCTCGCAGCGCGGGAATGTTTTGACTGGGCTAGACAGGGGCATTATGTTAGCATTGAACATGCATTTCTGAAGTAATAATCCTGTAAAGATAGCTGTACTCACGCCTAGATTTCGCCATGATTGATGCAGGGGAAATTTAGATTGGTATTTTCCTGCATGCCCGCAGGTGAATAATTTGTTGTGGAGCCGGGCATTATCGATAAAACCTTTCCGGGTGGCGGAAGACACCTGGATCGCACTCGGCCGCTGCTTATTCTGCGACGCAACACTGGCTGCTCAAGTCGATCCAGTCGTCACTTCGCCAGACGTGGTCGTCGCCTCCTAACTGCTCTGCTAAGTGATGTCAATGTCCTCGTCCCTATGCCGTGGACTTTGCCTCCTTTTCATCAGCCATGAATGCTCGCAGAGAGGGGATTAACTTCCTCACTCCGAATCCCTTCAACGTGCAGCGCAGCAACTATGAAACAGTACTGCAGCAACTGCAGGGCAATCCATCCTTAGTTGCCTCTATATTAGTGACGCTCATCACTCTGTATTTTACCATCAGCTATTGGGGTCCAGCTTCGTTGTCGGTGGCTCGGATAGCCTGGAATATACTTGTCCATTTGACACCTTCTCGACTGATTGCCGCCCTGGATTACCAGACACGGAATTCCGATACGACCGACGAGAACCCTCTTTCGATGACCTTTGAGGCCAAGAGTGAAGCGATGCAACGGATACTCGGCCTTGACGATACCTCCTTCTCCTCCCTCTTCCCTCGCGCTCCGGCTTTCTCGAGTTTCGGGACCTCTCTCTTAAGCAGCAAGAACAACGTACCGCCAGGGCTCGGAAACTGGGATAATTCGTGCTATCAGAATAGCATCATACAAGGACTGGCATCTCTCCAGTCGTTAGAGAAGTTTCTGGATCAGAATGTTGAGCAGCTAGGAGAAAAAGCCCTTATGTCCACGCATCAAGCTTTGAAGGATATCATAGAGCGACTCAATAGCGCAGACAGCAATGGCCAACGTCTGTGGACCCCGGCGGATCTCAAATCGATGAGCAGCTGGCAGCAGCAGGATGCACAGGAGTACTTCTCGAAGATTGTTGATCAGTTGGATCTGGAGGTCCAGCAGGCGACTCGGCGACACACGCGCAACTTGGGCCTGAAGATGGCAGGACCGCAGGAGCATGTGATTGGGTCTGGTTCATCACAGGAGCTACAAGAAAACAGTGGGGCGGAGTCACGGTCAACTGGTAACCAGGTCTTTCGGAATCCGTTGGAAGGTCTTCTTGCGCAAAGAGTTGGCTGCATCCAGTGTGGTTGGACCGAAGGGCTCTCGCTCATTCCCTTCAACTGCTTGACTGTCCCGCTCGGTCCAAAGTTTGAGTACGACATCCGAGAGTGTCTCCATCATTACATGCATTTGGAGCCCATTGAGGGAGTGGAATGCGCAAAGTGCACCTTGTTGCGGGTACAGTCTCAGCTATTGAACCTGCTGAGGCAAATCAGCGATGATGAGGAGACTCCGAGTGCTACTCCGGAATCACCAAAAATATCAGATGCGCTTCGAAGCTCCGCACAGGAACGCTTACAGGCCGTTGAGCAAGCGTTGGGAGAGGAGGACTTTGCAGAGAAGACGCTCTCTCAGAAATGCCATATTCCCGGAAAAAATCGAGTGTCGACGACCAAGTCAAGACAGGCCGTGGTTGCCAGGCCCCCACAGTGCCTAGTAATTCACATCAACCGCAGCATGTTCGACGAAACTACAGGAATGCTCCGGAAGAATTACGCAGCCGTCAAGTTTCCCAATGCCCTCAACTTGAACCCATGGTGCTTGGGCGGAGTTTCCAAAAATGGGGAGCCAAATCTTGAAGCCTGGGAGACCAATCCCAGCGTATCCATGCTCTCGCATGCAGGAAGAGGCGCAACTGCAGGCGGTCACTATCAGTTGCGTGCTGTGATCACTCATTACGGCCGTCATGAGAATGGCCATTACATATGTTACAGAAAATATCCGACCGACAGTTTTCCGGCCCACGTCCCGGACGCAATTATCGAGGCAGATGGAGACAAGGAGAGAGACGAGCGTTGGTACAGGCTAAGCGACGAAGACGTGCAGATGGTCAGCGAAGCGAGCGTCATGTCTCAGGGCGGCGCCTTCATGCTCTTCTACGAGGCAGTTGACGACTACTCCCCGGAGGCTGCAGAGGACGTGGACTCTGGCTTGGCGGAAGAGGAGGGTTCAGCGCCTTCTTCTAGCTGCACGCCATCGGAGACCATGTCCACAACATCTGTTGCCACAGGAGACTCCACATCCGATGTATCGCAAGCGACCAGCGTCTCCACGGCGTTAAATGTTGAACCTTGGTCTGAGAAGTCCCTGCTTATGTCCGACGTTGACTGAACCGTTTCTGTCTCGATTGCCCAACCTTGCTCTGCCCGATTGTGTATATCAGCATTATATGATACCCCGAGTACGACTCTTTAGAAAGCGTTTATCCACATGTTCTTGACTGTTTGCTGTACGTTTTGCTCTGGAATAATCGACGAGACGTTGAACACGGCTTTGTATAACACTGTATGTACTTGATATCTGATTATCGCTTTATAGCTAAAGTACACTATTCTTGGCACTCCATAACCGATCCTGTATAACCCCAAGAAGCATGCCGTATGTCCCAACACCCTGTCCCAGATAGTAAACAACACCCCAGTAACCAGGATTAATCACATACCCAACGCCCGCTGAAATATCAACCCAACCATACCATATCCCCATCAAACGAACCAAGAAATACAATCAAAACACTCCGGCCCTAGTCATAACATCATGGAACTGCTCCAACGTAACCCCAGCATGCACTCCGGCCCCACCATTCGCCTCCAAAATCATATCCTTCAACAATTCATCCCCAAGCTCGTCCTCCTTCAACTCGCGCGCAATCCTCTTCAAATGGTTAAACGTAATCAATCCCCCCGACCCCCTCGTAAACAACCGATACGCGACATCCACCTCCGCCGCCATCGCATCATCAGACCTAGATCGTAGCTTCGCCGCCGCGACAGCCAGAAACGGCTCGTACAGCACGTACCCGGTATCCGTGGGGTCGACGGCCGAGATGATGGAGTGGAGTTCTTCGCTGTCGGTGGGGTCGAGACCGAGGGCTCTATTGTTGCACTGAGTTAGGGAATCTTTCGTCGCAATATGGATGTCTAGGGAAGGGGAACCGTACACTAAGGCTTTGCGCACATCACCGCGTGGGATCACGCCTTCCTTTTGATCTGCGAACTCCTCGACGGTCTCGGAGAAGAGGTGGAATACTTCTTTGATTTCGTTTTCCTCCGACGCGCTAATGTCGTTTTCTTTGGCGAGTTTGGATTGGCGTGCGCGTTTGGGCGCGGGGCCGCTGCTTGGGGCGCTGCGCTTTTTGGGGGGCTGGAAGTAGTGATGGTGGTGGTTAGCGCATTGATTGAGAGAGAGTATGTACATGCGATAAGCACAATGGTGACTTACCATGGTACCGATTGGTTATGTATCCTCTTTGGTAGTGTGTAGGTAGATGTTAAGCTGTCGCAAACTGCGATGATGTCAAGGGAAAGGGTGGTTGGAGATAAGGCGCGGGGGCGGATGAGCCATGGACATTTGGTAGGCTGGTAAGGATCGGGATTTGCCGACTTACATCGCACTGCCGTTGGGAGTCCGGATGGGGATGCCAATGACTCCGAGGAAGATGAGGTGAGAAGAAGAAGGGTTGCTTCCATTGTCTTCGATTGCAGTTAATCTCGTGATGGCCGGCGGGCTGCTGACGTAACCCCGCGATGCCTGGAGGTTCTTCTTGTTACTTCTTCAGCTGCGTTTGCGCCGGCGAGGATTACATTTCCCAGGAATTTCGGAGTTGCGATTCAGTCTTCCTGGTGCTTTCTTATACCTCGCAGCGTTGATTTGAAGACCTCTGTGTCAGCAGCCGTCGTCATGGATGTCGAGCTGTATGTCTATGACCTATCCAAGGTGATTTCCATAGCTTCACGTGTACATGTTTAGTCAAGGAGTCATGGGCTAATGCGGAACAGGGTCTTGCGCGAATGGTGAGACACGCATTGATTGTGGCAGAGTCGCCTCGTGTCTAACTTCGTCTAGTATTCGCTGGCCCTGACGGGCACGCTAATCGATGCCATCTACCACACATCGCTGGTGCTGAACGGCGTCGAGTATTACTTTGGCCAGGGCATCCAAACGGCCGTCCCCGGCAGTACTCATCATGGACAGCCCATGGAGAAGCTGCATCTTGGCAAGACCGAGCTCCCCATGGATGTAATCGAAGAATACATCCAGTCGCTTGCGGAAATCTACACCCCTGAGGTAAAGAGCCCGTATCCCCAGCCCGGTCATCTCTCTAACCCGGCCGTCCAGTCCTACGACCTCTTCTTGCACAATTGCAACAACTTCACGCAGGATTTGGCCATGCTTGCTCTCGGCAAAGGCATCCCTGAGCATATTCAAAACCTGCCGCAGACCTTCCTGAGCACCCCTTTTGGGCAAATGATGAAGCCCCAGATCGAAATGGCCCTGCGCGGTGTAACCCAAGGCACTGGCGCTGGCACTGGCACAGCCGGCACTCAAACGCCCTCCACCAGCGCACCAACCGCCCCTGCGCAACCTGCCCCCGTTACTCAAGGTTCTGTGCGCATCGCAAGCAACCTCGCCCAGCTCGAGCACCACCTAGCTGCCGCCGCCGACTCATGCGCCGTCATCTTCTTCACTTCGGCCACCTGTCCGCCCTGCAAAGTGGTCTACCCGACGTACGACGAACTCGCCGAGGAAGCAGGCGCCAAAGCCACCCTCATCAAAGTCGACATCAGTACTGCCATGGATGTCAGCATGAAATACAGCGTCCGAGCAACCCCAACCTTCATGACCTTCCTGAAGGGCCAGAAGCTCGATGAATGGTCCGGCGCCAACCCAGCCCAACTACGAGGCAACGTCCGTCTCCTTCTGGAAATGGCTCATCCTCCCCATCGTCACCAGCAACTCCGTCTCCCCAGCCTTCAACGCCCCATCTCCAACTATGTCACCTACAAGAAAGTACCGCCGCTTGACAAGCTCGTCCAGAAACTCAGCCCTCACCACGAAGACCCCCGCCTCCTCTCCATGATTACCTACCTGAAACACCGCACCTCCTCTTCCACCCCAGCAGCAGACACCCCCTTACCCCAAGACCTCCCAACCTTCGCCACCTACCTACAAACCACCTACGGCTCTCTAGCCCTAGACCACCTATTCGCTCTCGTCGACCTCACCCGCCTGCTCTTCCTCGACCCCCGCGTATCCAGCTACTTCGCCGAAGAGCCCGACCACAAGACCCTCCTCACCCTCTTATCCCCATCTGCTGGCCTCTCCAAATGCCCCTACAACCTCCGCATCGTCATGCTCCAACTCTGCTGCACCCTCTTCTCCACCCCTCTCTACCGCGACCAACTCACTACCTCCTCCTCTTCTCTCCTCCAAACCCTCCTCCACCTCACCACCTCCTCCCTCCTTGACTCCCACACTAACCTCCGCGTGGTCGCCGCCTCCCTCGCCTACAACCTTGCCGCGCTTAACCACAACGCCCGCTTCGCCGGCCACACCGACCCGCTATCCGAGGAATCCCAGGTCGAGCTGACTGCGTCGCTCGTGGAAGCTATCACCCAGGAAGAAGAGAGCCAGGAGGCTCTCCACGGGCTTCTCTTCGCTCTGGGACTGCTCGTCTACGAAGCTAGTCCGGACAGCGCGGTCGTGGATCTCTGCAAGGCCATGGGGATTGCAGAGACGGTAGTTGCGAAGAAGAATGTTCCGAGTGTAGCGAAGGAGCCGTTGATCAAGGAGGTGGGAGAGGAGTTGTTGATGAGGGGGTTGTAGAATACCTACCACGTAAGTATACTTAGGTTTAATCACTCCTATACATGGCTTAGATGGGTTAATAGATGATGTACTACTTACTGTATTCCTTACACTACTTGAACCGATTTATTCCTTCGTCTTTATCTCTATCTAGCACTGTTAGTTTACGACCTTACATTCAATCTCCTTTTATGACTATATCACGCATATTCTACCGGTATCCCAACCCACACACACCTCCGACTACGACACAAGTAGTATATCCCTCATCTCATCTCATCTCATCCCATCTCATCATCCTACCCTCCCAATCCACACCATTCCAAATCTCTAAACCCCTCAACACCCAGCAAACTGAAAGAAAAACCCCTCAATCAATAATTGCCTGACATCAGCACCACCACAAAAACGAGGGGTAACGGCATAAAAATCAATAGTTTTCTTCCATCAACACTGTCTCGTGATGACTGACTGACCCTCTTCATTCAGCACAGATCACCAACCGATCATAGTCTTCATAAGTACCTTACATACAAGAAAAACAAAGCATATACTGCTGCTTATTTTCTAGCACTAGTTATATGAAAGACATAGTAAATAGGTACCAATTGTGTGGTTAGGTAGATGGTGGCTGGCTGATGGATGGACTTCAAAGAAGTAAATCAAAAAAAGAAAAGCAAGAAAGAAGAAAGAATAAGTAAATAAGTAATGCTGCTGCATGTGCTGCCTAGCTTTGCTTTTCTCTGCTCTAAGTACAGCGGGGGATATGTAGTACTCAGCTGTTACAGGAGTCGCTAGTTCCTAGTGTCTCTACTACTAGTAGGATGTCGAGGTCGAACTAACGGGATTTGCGTCGGGTATAGCCGTGCAGGTACTTGTGCCATTTGTTCAGGTGGGATTGTGGTTCAAATTATATGACAGTTACAGCTAGGATGGTATAGGATGGGATCTATTATAGTAGGATAGAATTATTATGTTATCAGACCACTTCATTTTCGGTGGTTATTGTTCATTGATTCGTTCATTCACCATGTGAATGTAGTTAAGTATTACCATACTAAATAGGAAATAGGAAGACAATCAAGTAGTGAAACAAAGGCCATCGCTGCATGAATTAATGGGGTATGTCGCTGAGCTATGCAATATGCAATCCATCTAAAGTAACGCGGGAGCTGTTCTGTGTAACACGCTCGGGGTATGAGAATGAAGGGGGAAAACGAAACAAGGAAGCGCCAGGAAACAACAAGATGACATACAAGACGGGGTATCTGAACATCCGACGCTGATAACAAAAAGAAAAGTGACAAAAGAAAGGGGCAATAATTAGATCGGAAATCGCGAGTAAAGAAGAAAAAGCAAAACCACTGACGAAACCCAGCTGAGGGGGAATCTGGGTCTGGTATCCCAAAATGTTGCTAAATCCATGACCATCAACACCGACGCGACAACGCATGAAACGTAACAATAATTAAGAGAGTAAAGAAACCCGGTTGACAAGAGGGGAAAGAAAAGAAACCGGGGAG